CGAAAGACTGCTTCCTGACAGCAGGCGTCAACGCGGGCGCCAGCGATCTGCGGGCCCCCCCCGGGACCGCCCAAACTCGCGCGGGCGATGCTTCCAGGCGCGAACTCGCGGCGGGGGGGGGGGGGCGGAGAAGCATCTCAGCAGCTCAGTCTCGACAAACGTGAGAAAGCCTCCAGCGCTGGCACGAGGGCAGACAAGCGGACAGACGGCGAGCACTTGGGAGCGAGTCTGAGACTCGGAAGGCCCCCGGGTGCCCGCGCGCCCCTCGGCGGCAAGCGATGTGTAATGTGTCCCGCAGTGCGGCTTATCACTTGCGAAACTTGCGTCGCGTCCGAGTCAGATCTGCGCGCGCGGATCCGTGAGGGCCCTCGAGTGCCGCGTCGTTCTCCAGAACGCTCTTGCAGGGAGGCAGCGGGGACTTTGCGGGAGGCGGGGCAGGGGGGGGGCGCGGGGGGGGCGCGAGAGGGGGGTGGCGCTGAGCTGGCTGGCGCCGTCCCTGCACCGCGCCGGGCCTGGGCCCGAAACCAAATCAGAAACGCGATGCCTTTCAGGAAGGCTTCAAAGGTTGGCGATGATTTGGTCGATGGCCACCTTCGTGATGGCCCGGCGCGAGAGGTTGTGGTGGATGGGCTCGAGCTTGAACGCGTCCCCGCCTTGCTGGACGGCTTGGGCGAGCTTGAAGACATCGTCCTCTGTGATAGTCTGCAGCGCTCATTCGTGTCCGTTGACGCCAGGCATGTAACTGCCCGTGCAGGACTGGCTCTTCTTGATCGACCCGAGCACGTCAAATAATAAGCCTATTCTTTTGCCTCGCGTGGAGCGGGAGGTCGACCCTTGCTTCCAGCGGATACTTCATCGCATCACGGATGTCAGCCCGCTCTATGTTCACCTCCATCATCCTGCGCCGGGAGCTCTGGGCGTCATCGGCGTTGGCGAACTTGAGCTTGCAGACCCGGCTTACTCCGTGATGGCAGTGGCGCGATTCGCATCGCTCAGCTCGGGGAGTGCTTCCTGCATCTGGCTTCAGTGGGCAGCTCTGGTCTTCATCAGCAGCGGCCTTGGGAACGTGCCCGCGAAGCGGATGGTGGGGTCGCTGTCGCCGTCGTCGATCTCGCGCTCAACTCTCACGGCCTCGTCGCCGACGGCTTGGCCCCACGATTGACTTCTTGGTGCAATGCTGCTAGCGCTGCCAGCACTGCTGCCGCAACGATTGCCGCAATTTTCGACGGCAGCGAGACGCTTACTTTGAATGTGAAGATCTTGTCGAAGAAGCTAGACCTCGGAGCCCAGAGCGGTGATCAGCCCCTGATACCCTGCCATGGCAGTGTGGTTTTCTTTGTGAACCAACTGCTGGATGCTCTTCATCTGGTCCTCGAGCATCCTGTTGACCATCGCCATCAGGCCTCCGTTGGCAGCCGCCATGGGGACTAATAGGCGGATGTGATTGCGTGAGAACTGCAGCCGCCTCGGTGGGCTCGCTGGAGGTCGTAGGGAAGTGTGACCGCCTGTCGGTCTGGCCGCTCCAGTGGATCAGCCTTCGACGACGTCCAAGTTCAAGCCCTGGGCCGATGGTTTCAACTTGAGCAATATGGTTTGAGCCAACATGGCGACGGAAGAGGTGGGAGAGGAAGAGGAGGAGGGAAGAGGAGGAGGAGGAGGAGGAGGAGGAGGAGGAGGAGGAGGAGGAGGAGGAGGAGGAGGAGGAGGAGGAGGAGGAGGAAGAGGAGGAAGGGGAACGGCACCTGCCCGACCAGAGCTCCCTGGGGGAAGGGCGGCGGCCACGGGAACGTCAGCTCGCCCGTGCCCATGGCCGCGCAGGGGCGGTGCGCCGCCAGGGGGGGAGGGGGGGGGGCGCGGGAAGGGGGCGCGGGGCGCGCCGTTCTCGGCAGCCGGAGCGCAGGTCGGGGGGCCAAAACCTCTGAGAGGGTGGCGCGCTAACTGGGGGGGGGGGGGGAGGGGCGGGGAGGGGGAGGAGGAGGGAGGAGGGAGGAGGAGGAGGAGGAGGAGGGAGGAGGAGGAGGAGGAGGAGGAGGAGGAGGAGGAGGAGGAGGAGGAAGAGGAGGAGGAGGAGGGGAGGGCTCCGAGCGCCCGAGAACCCGAGGGGGCCGCACGAGGCGGCGGCGGCCCTCCCCGGCGTTTCTCTTGCCTCTGGGGTGGCTCCTGGAGGCTTCTCGTCGCCACGACTGGGTCCGCCTCGAAAAAAAGGGCAAGGGCGGACCCTGGGGGTTCGGGCCATTCGAAGACAGCCCCAACACCAAAGGGGGCACCATGGAGTCAAGATGCTGCTGTGCGCTTTCCTGTCGCAGAGGCTCCGTGCCGTGGCGTGCACAGAGGGTGAAGTCAGGGCCTGCTCTTCCAAGCCTCAGGAAAAGACTACTCGTGGCCCGAGCGAGGAATTTTGCGGAAACAGCGACGATAATGATTGACCAATCGAGGAGACCCTCGACCGGCCAACCCCGGAGAACGGAACGAGGCAAGGAAGGTCCGGCGACGCGATCCGGGGCAGCGGGAAGAGGCGGAGCCTGAGACAGGCAGGGCGCTCGACTACGTCCGTCCTCCCTACTCCTCCTCATCCTCCTCCTCGCCACCCATCATCCTCATAATCACCACCATCATCGCTATCATAATCGCATTATCAATATCACCGTCAGCAGCGCCGTCATCACCACCGTCCTCACCACCATCCTCACCAGCACCATCAGCATCAGCAACATCACCTTCGCCAATATATCATGACCATCACCGATCTCATCGCAATATTCGCAATCATGCCAAACATAAACATAGTGATCACAATCATCATCACCACCAGCATCATCATCATGCTCATCATTATCATTATCATGAGCCGCATCATCATCAGCAGCAGCATCGTAATGATACTGAGAATTATAATCATACAAATGCTCACAACCATCACCACCCTATTCAACATCAACATCAACGTAAACCTTTATACTATTATCATCATCATAATCATAATCATCAGCATCAACAGCATCACCATCATCATCATCATCATCGTCATCATCATTCCTTATCCTCCCTTCCTGACTTCCTCCCTTTCTTCATTCCTTCCTTCATCCCTTTCCCCGTCATTCCCCATCCCTCCACCCTCCGCCCTCTCTCCCTCCCTCCCTCCCTCCCTCCCTCCTCCTCCTCCTCCTCCTCCTCCTCCTTCTCCTCCTCCTCCTCCTCCTCCTCTTCCTCGGGGCCTACTGGGCCCCCCTCGACCCCACGAGGTCGATCGACAAGGACCTTCGCTGTGGAACACGTTTCGCCAAAGGCGTAACGTACCACATCATGGATCGCATCGCCTCCGTGCACGTGGGCATGTCACACGGGCTGTGGGTCGACGAGTTGAGTCGTAGTAGTCGAACCCCTCATGAGGTCATGGTCAAACAGCTGGTGGGGAGGGAGGTCCAATGCCGAACCCATACATCGGCGCGGGCCTCGGAATCTTCAGGTGTATGACGCCTTGGGCCCTCGATTAGAGACAAGGTTACTGAGGCCTTGATTGATGGGCACATACAGTCGGCCATGTCGCACGTGTGGTAAGCTGCTGACTCTGCCTATACCTTGCCATGGACCCCGCGGCACACTGCTGCCACGGGTTTGGGCGGGAGGTACAGCGGTGGCCATATCGCATATGCGGTGAACGGCTGAACAAAAAACATGTCCCGCAGGAGCCTCCGCGACCCAGGGTTGCCTGAGCCCTGGCAACATGTGCGTCCCTCGCTCCTCTGCCGCAACACCTGTAGCCCAAGTTTGCCAAGCCATTGCGCCGCACACGCGGTCGGTAATATTACCAATGCGCTGCCCCACTGATCTCCTGTACTCCCTACGAGGGTCCACACATGGCGAAGTTGCCGTGGCACTGCAAGTGTAGACGCAGTTCAGAACATGGAGCGTCTTGTCCGCTGGAACCGTATACATAACCACCTTAACTTCTGCAGCTTGCACAACGAGGCGGCGTGAAATCGCCACCCGCCTTCCGGGCCATGGCCGCGGCAACCTGGCGGGCCAGGGGCAAACTGGATGCAGTGACGCGTGATTTCTGGGAAACGCCAAGGCCAATTTTCACGGCCTCGCGGTAGAAGTGGCCCGCGGCCCGGGGGGGTGACATCGAGGGCCCGCTGGGCCTTGCCCGCGGCCTTCTGGTTCGCATCATCCACCGACCGCTTGACCGCGCCGCGTGGAAATGCTCGTCATGGGCAGCCTGCAGTAAATCATAGAGGATGCCGCGCGCGCGCGCAACTGTCGGCGCTGCCCCCCCCCCCCCACCCCCCCCTGAGGAGGGGCCCAGCGGGCGCGATGGCCTCAGGAATGGCCCCTCTCCTGCGCGGAGAAGGCGGGGGGCGAGATGAACCGTCGGCGAGGGGCCGACCGTCCGAGCTGAGAGTGCCCAAGCTCGCGGGCGGAGGCGAGCGAAGTGACGGGGTCGAGCGAATTAATGCAAGTCTGCGCATCCCAAGGCACGCTGCCGCTGCAGGGGCCCGTGGCCCCCGATGATTCATCGCGGGGGCAGGCGGGCCAGGGCGCGCTGGGGGGCCGTGCTCTCGCGGACGCCCTCGCCCCAGCGCCCCGCTCGTGCCCCGCGCCGCTGCGCCCCCGGGCCCCTGCGGAGCTGGCCTCAAAGACGGATGGACCGAGGGGGGGGGCCGCGCGGCATTCCCCCCTGTCGGTCTTCGGGGGGGGGGCCCTCGCCGGGAGAAGCCCTCCTCGTGGGCCTGGAACAAGGTCGCGAGCTCCGATCGAGAAGCGGGGGGAGAAATGCGCAGATCCGAGGGGCCGAGATTGTCCGAGCCTCTACCGGTGGATGCTCGGGCCGTGCTGAGACAGCGCGAGAGTTCCTCGCTGGTCAGCGGCTCCCATTCTTCACAGAGGTCCTGTGCGTGACATGTTCTATGCAGTGCAACGAACCGTTCCAGATGCGCCTCGCCTGTCCACCGAAGCTCCCGCTGAGCACACTTGGGCTGAATCATGGTGGCCTGATCTACTCAGGACTTACACAGATGGTTGACCTCCATCGCGGGCAGCTCGCACTCCTTGGCCCACCGGGCCACCTTCGACGGGGACCGCGAGGCGCTGCGCATCACCCAGGAAGTGAACTGCGTCGACTGGTGACGGGCTTGCAGCCGCTCCACCTTGTCGGCCGCCAGGCCTACTGCTGCGCTCGTGGCCCCCGAGCTTGGGCTCTGTCCAGGTGGCGGCCGCCTGGAAGGAGTGCGGCCACTGCGCGCGGGTCGCCTGGCTGATCACCGGGAGCGACCGGTGGCCGAGCGGGACGTCGGCAGCCATCCTCTGGAGCAGGCGGACAACATCACGGCCCGCCGACGTGCGCCGCACCTGCTCGTCGAGTCTTCGGGCGGCGGTGTCGACGCCTGCCGATGCAGTGGTCCACCAGCCTGCAGTGCGGCCCATGGCGTAGGCACTGCCAGGTGGAGAACGAGACCGCTGCAGCTTCGTCTCCCTGGGCAGCCCACGGCCGTGGTACTTGTGTGCATGTTCGGGCGGAACCAAAGACGCCCCCATCAGGTAGCGCTCCAGCCGAATGACCCAGCGGCCGTAGAGGCCCGCCTGGGGGCTCGTCTCTGCCGTGGCCTGGTAGCTGGTGTACTCGATCACGTATCTGGGGCAAGCTGTCGCCAGACGGGATGGTCGACCAGCGGTGTCTGGATAACAGAGCTCCATATTCCCATGCGCTGCTCGGGCCCCACGAAGACGAGAGGAAGAGAAGCGAAGAGGAGGCGGAGGGGGAGGAGGAGCAATAGCACGGACGCGGCGATGTTCTCGATCAGTGCCGGCGCAAGGCAAAAGGGGAGGAGCAGGAGGGAGAGAGGGAGGCAGAGAGGAGCGGCAGCACAGGCCTCTTGAAAAGCGTGCAATTCGCCAGCAAACGCAATATCCTCAAAATCGCCGGCCCTCGCGGCCAGACGCGAATCCGAGAAGAACACGAGCCAATGTTGAGGGCCCAACACGGTGCCTTGGTACCCCAATGTTCTCCATCAGCAATTCTCTGGAAGCGTGACCAAAAACGAAAGCCCGAGCACAACGAGAGCCAGCCAACTTTGTACAACGGCACAAACACGAGGGTCACAGCTGAAGCTGCGCAATTTGGCTCCCACTGCGGCGGCGCGGCCCCTCCCTGCCTCGGGCGGCGCAGGGGGCGAGCGGCGGGCCTTCCGAGCGAGAAGTCGCCCCCGTGGCGGCGCCTCGGTCGCCGGGCCGGGGCGCGGGGGAGGAACGCGCGCCGCCCTCCCGGCTCCCTCCCTCCTGCCCACGCCCGCGCCCGCACCTCGAGGGTCGAGGGGCCGGGGGTGGGTGGGACCGACGTGTTCGGCCCTTGCCACAATCGGTCCCCCGAGGGCCTGCGGAGGCCTGCAGAGGCCTCGGGGGACCCCTGGGACCTCCGGGACAGACCTCTGGAGGTCAGGATCCTGGGAGGCAGCGGAACTTAGCATCCCCTCCGTCCCCCTCCGTCCTGCTCCCGCTCACACCCGTTCCTCCTGCTGCTCCCCCCTTGAGTGCCTCGGTGCTGCGGGCACAGGTGTCAACTTGCGAGAGATGCTGCAGCGCTTATGCAGCTAGAACACGGACAAGGAGGCGCAGGAGGCGAAATAGGGATCGTCACGTCTAACCTGCCATAGACGAGGGGAAAAGGAGGAAGCAGCTGCCTCCTTTCCCTCCTCTTCCTCTTCCTCCTCCTCCTTCTTCTCCTCTTCCTCCTCCTCCTTCTTCTCCTCCTCCTCATCAGCATAAGCATCCTCATCACCATCGTCATCGTCATCGTCATCGTCATCGTCATCGTCATCGTCATCATCATCATCATCATCATCATCATCATCATCATCATCATCATCATCATCATCATCATCATCATCATCATCATCATAGTCATCGTCATCGTCATCGCCATCATCATCATCATCATCATCATCATCATCATCATCATCATCATCATCATCATCATCGTCATCGTCATCGTCATCGTCATCATCATCATCATCATCATCATCATCATCATCACCATCATATATCGCCTCGAGGTGCAGGGAGGTCAAGACAAAGGAGAAGGGCGAGAGGAGCGATGGGGGAGGGGAACGAAGTCACGAAGAACGAAAGCGCATGCCCACATGCCCAGGATGGGAGGACTCAAGCTGGCAAGAAAGCAAATCATGCGTATTGACGACTGTGCGTCCTGGAACGACCTGGCAAAAACGTGGGCGCATTCTCGTTCCATTAGCATCTGCCGCGCGATACGCTTGCGAACTGATGGTTTGCCACTGCTTGTAAACTAGAGCAGGCCCATGCTGCTCGCTAGCGAGCTTGCTGCAGATATCGCTGTGCTAGTAGAAGCACGCATGTGCCATAACTTTTGCTATATCACAATGGCACCACCAGCCAAACATGGAAGCGAATCGCCGCCCCCTTGCGCTGTCCTCGGGGTGTGAGTTTGTCGCCCCTCCCCAAACTCCTCTCAGGAGCCCAGTCCGAGCGCGTTGGAGAGTTGTGGGATCCCCGTCGACGACCCCCGGTGGCCCCTGGCGGACGTAGCCGCTCCAGAGGTGCTCCCAAACGCGTTCACATTGCCCCAAACGGTTCCCAAACGCACCACGAAGGCGCAAAGACGGACGGCCCGGGCTGGCCCTGGGGCGGCCTAGGAGGCCCTCGAGACTGCTCATAAAACGCTACAACAGGACCCAAAAGACGCCTCCAAGGCAAACGCCCACTGGACCCCCAACTGGTCTTCACGGACTTTCGCGCTCTGATCCTGGATGTTTTTGTGGGCGGCCCTGGGGCTCGACAAGGGCCCCGGGAAGACAAAGAAAATGGCGAAGCACTTGTCCATCAGGCCCCCTTCTCTTCTGAGGGGTAACGATGGGGGGGATAGGCATAGGGGGGGAAAGGGAAACATCGACCTGGAATCGGCGATACATCGCCGATAGATCGGCGATAGGCCCCCGATAGCGAATCCGCCCGTTCCTGGGCAGGTCGGGGCTATCGGGCCCCTATCGGCGATCAATGGGCGATTAGGGGTCGATGCATCCCCCCCTATGCCTATCCCCCCCTATCGTTGCCCCTTCTCTTCCTGGTGACTGATAGGGGAAAACGACCTAATGGTGACGCTGGAGATGAGTATCCCTTCCCCGCCGCGGGCCGGTCCCCGCGCCACTGCGGTGCGCTGGACCCCAGGGGGGCGGCGCCGACCCAACAGACTCGCGCGGACCTCCAACAACCTGTGCTGATGCTGCCTGCTGCTATTTCAGCCGGTGTGTGTGTCGGTTGAAGCAAAGAGGAGGAGGAGGAGGAGGAGGAGGAGGAGGAGGAGGAGGAGGAGGAGGAGGAGGAGGAGCAGGAGGAGGAGGACACAAACATAATTTCTTGAGGTCCGCGCGGAACTCCGAGAACGTATGTTTGAGTTGTCGCTATGGGCCCCGACGGAGACGACGAGGAAGACCATGGCAAGCCGCCCCCGAGTGTCCCACCGCCGCAGAACTTTTGCTTGTACTGTTGCTCTTCGAGTGGTGACGGACCGCGACGTAGACGACGATGAAGACCATGACAAGACTTCCCCAGGTGTCCCACCACCGCGCGACAACCTCACGGATCGCGCCAGAGCCCGCGAGAGATTAAACCCGTCTGCTCTCCTCGGGCCGAAGGGCCGAGGGCTTCCTCGCTGCGGATCACTGAAGACGACAACGAAGACAATGACGATGAACAAGACACAGTTCGACGACGATGAAGAAGATGACGATGAAGGCGACACAGTTCGACGACGATGATGACGAGGGTGATGACGATGTTACAGCTCGACGACTATGAAGACGTTGGCGAGAATAACAGGAGAAGGGGAAGACTGCATAAACAGAACCTGTCGGAGGCCCGCGCGGGCCTCCGAAAAGAATATGTTTATGCCACGTTCCCCTCCTCGAGATGGGGATGATGACGTCTGTCACGGCCCAGTCCCCGCGCCACTCCGCCGCGGCTCCGCTCAGCGCGTGGTCGCCGGCCTCAGCGCCGAGCCGCACGGCCGCGACTCCGACGCGGCGGCCCTCCGCGCCGCCGGCGGCGATCAAGTCCTCGTAGGTCCCGGCGTCGGGCCTGGGGACCCGGAGAACGAAGTTCGAGGGTCGAGGTTTTGATTAAACGTCTGTGACAATGTTCGAGTGCGGGAAGCCCCCCAGGGCCTCCAGGGACAGCTGGCGCCCTCCATCATCGCCACTGTCACAATCATCAATTATCCTGGCAAAGCAACCTAACAGCGATGTGTAGGAGCATATCTGGAAGCATTCCCCTTAAGATTCAGATGAGAATCCAGTTGTAGAATTCTGCTGTTCTCGCAGTCGTAGTCGCATTCGCGATGACAGTCGCAGTGGCAACGGCAGTCGCAGTCGCAGCCTCAGCCTCAGCCTGCCTCAGCCTCAGCCTCAGCCTGCCTCAGCCTCAGCCTGCCTCAGCCTCAGCCTCAGCCTGCTTCAGCCTCAGCCTTCATCAGCCTCAGCCTGCCTCAGCCTCAGCCTGCATCAGCCTCAGCCTCAGCCTCAGCCTGCCTCAGCATCAGCCTGCCTCAGCCTCAGCCTCAGCCTGCCTCTGCCTCAGCCTCAGCCTGCTTCAGCCTCAGCCTCAGTCTGCCTTCGGCCTCGGCCTCAGCCTCAGCCTGCCTCAGCCTCAGCCTGCATCAGCCTCAGCCTCAGCCTCAGCCTGCCTCAGCATCAGCCTGCCTCAGCCTCAGCCTCAGCCTGCCTCAGCCTCAGCCTCAGCCTGCTTCAGCCTCAGCCTCAGTCTGCCTTCAGCCTCGGCCTCAGCCTCAGCCTGCCTCAGCCTCAGCCCAGCCTCAGCCTCAGCCTCAGCCTGCCTCAGCCTCAGCCTGCCTCAGCCTCAGCCTCAGCCTCAGCCTCAGCCTCCTGCCTCAGCCTCAGCCTGCAGCCTCAGCCTCAGCCTCAGCCTCAGCCTGCCTCAGCCTCAGCCTGCAGCCTCAGCCTCAGCCTCAGCCTCAGCATCAGCCTCAGCCTCAGCCTCAGCCTGCCTCAGCCTCAGCCTCAGCCTGCTTCAGCCTCAGCCTCAGTCTGCCTTCAGCCTCGGCCTCAGCCTCAGCCTGCCTCAGCCTCAGCCTGCCTCAGCCTCAGCCTCAGCCTCAGCCTGCAGCATCAGCCTGCCTCAGCCTCAGCCTGCCTCAGCCTCAGCCTCAGCCTGCTTCAGCCTCAGCCTCAGTCTGCCTTCAGCCTCGGCCTCAGCCTCAGCCTGCCTCAGCCTCAGCCTGCCTCAGCCTCAGCATCAGCCTGCCTCAGCATTCAAAATGTGGCCCGGGAATGGAAGTTCTGGGAACTCGAAGAACACGAAGTGGCCTACAGTTGGCTCCGGGCATTCAAAATCATGCCCAGGAATGAAGTTCTGGGAACTCGAAGAACACGAAGTGGCCTACAGTTGGCTCCGGGCATTCAAAATCATGCCCAGGAATGGAGTTCTGGGAACTCGAAGACCACGAAGTGCGTTACTGTTGGCTAAAAAAAGTTCCCCGGCATCCTCCCCCGGATCGCGCCCAGACCCCCCTGGGGCGTCAAGATGCTCTCTTTTGACCCTACTAGAAATCTATGAGTCTTCGCTGTTAGGTAAAAACCATCAACACCAACATTCCCATCGCGGTCATCTTCACAGCCACCATCATCAGCAACACCGTCATCGCCAACATGACCATCATCACGATCATCATCATCATCATCATCATCATCATCATCATCACCATCATCATCATCCTCATCATCATCATCATCATCATCACCATCATCATTACAATCATCATCATCACCACTACCATCATCATCATCATCATCAGCATCATCATCATCACAATCATCATCACCATCAACGTAATCATCAGCATCAGCACCATCATCATCATGATCATTATGATCATCATGATCATCATCACTATCACCATCACCATCACCATCACCATCACATACCATCACCATCACCATCACCAGCATCATTATCATCACCATCATCATCATCATCATCATCACCATCAGCATCAGCATCAGCATCAGCATCAGCATCAGCATCAGCATCAGCATCAGCATCAGCATCAGCATCAGCATCATCATCAGCATCATCATCATCATCATCATCATCATCATCATCATCATCATCATCATCATCATCATCATCATCATCGTTATCATCATCGTCATCGTCAGCGTCATCATCGTTATCGTCATCGTCATCGTCAGCGTCATCGTCATCCCGGTGCACCCCAGGCCACCCCCCATTCTGCGTGGCGGGCGTCCCGGGGCGGTTCCACCGCAGGGCCCTAGCAGGCCGGCCAAACGACTCGTGCGGGGCCGGAGGAGGGGGAGATGGGGAGACCGGGGACCAACGCACCAGCGCACCGACGAGGAGGACACCCGAGCCCGAGCGGAGGCGCGGCGGAGAGGCACGACGCCGATGAACGCCGCCAGCCTGCTTCGAAGGCGCACGGGAAGGAGGCTAGCTCAGTCTGCGTGTTTAGGGGGGGGGGATCTTGACGCGCCGTTGACGGCAACACCACTTCGCTCTCCCCACGGGACTTCGCCTTCGGCTCCTGTCCAAGGCGTACCTTTTCCTGTGCAAGCTCTTCGCACCGCCTGGACCGCGCACCCTCCGGCAACCTGAGGCCCCGCCCGCCCGCGCCCTGTCTCCCCAATTGGTGCTTCGCGCGCCCCGCCTAGCTCTTAACCGGAAGAGGACCCGCTCTCGACCCGCCGACCAACAGTTTAGGGGGGGGGTCAGCCCAAGAGCCGAACCCACCTCTGGTTGATTTCAGGCCCTGGCTCGCCCGTGAAGGCGGCCCAGGTTCCTCCAAAGCGTCGGGCAATGGCTTTGGCTCTTAATCCAACCGTGGCGACGAGAGCCCCCTGGGCCAGCAGTGACCCACCTCAAGTCAACTGAAGCGAAGAGGAGATCACGGGGAAATCAACACAATCACACCCCGAAGTCATCAAAACCGACGACGCGCACTTCCAACCATGATTGAAGTAACACTGATGATAAGAGGAGCGCGACGCGCGCGACAAGCATACCTCGCCCCTCGAGCCGCAGGCCTCTGCGCGGCGGCGGCGACTCTCTCCGCTTGGCAAGAAACAGCACAGCGCATAAGACGAAAGAGGGGCGGGTCCCGAAGCCCAGCCACCAACATGGAACCACCCGCGGGGAGGGGGGGGAACGGGGCTACCGTGCCAAAATGAAACGCGCGCCAAAAAGGTTCGGAGGGTAGAACACACGCCCCGCCTACGAACCTAAGGCAACAACGCCAATTCGCAGGTAGGCTTTCTACCCCAAGACGACCCCACAGCCCGATAAGACACAGAGGGGGGAACAAGACACGGGACCGAAAAACGGCACAAACTTTACGGGAGAAGGGCTAAGGCAAAGGTAAGAAGCGGCGGCCTCCTCAAAGCTTAGAGTACACAGCAATGCACTCAAAGTAGACAACGATTGTCTACCTCAGGTAGTTCTCGTGCGCGGCGAGCAACGGCAAGAACATAGTGCAGTGAAAATGCAATCCGTTTTCGGAAAATCACAAACTGATAGAACGACTTCTTCGAGCGGATCGATCCACCCGTGGGAGTTGCGACGAGGGGCGCGAAAAGTGAGACCGAGAGGCCCAAACATGGAAACATGCGATATTGAGAAAAGCAGATCGAGCGTAGCAGGAAGATCAAGGGCGCAGGATTCCAGAGCGTCTCCTCCACCTGTGAGCAGGCCTCCGAGTTTCGGGGGTGATCCTCTCTCGTGGGGCTGGCGGCCGCGCGCACCGTCCGCGCTGGCGCCGACTGCGGGCAACTGAGGCCAACCGCAGTTGGCCCCTGGGAGGGGGCGCGGCTGCCCACGCGCACGATCGGTGGCACTTCGAGACAAAATCGGGCGCCAATCTGGATTGCGAAATTGGGATCCGTGGTCAACGTGGTCGGCAGTTGGGACACGAATCTCGTGAGCCAACTCTCGAGTTCTGCGAGGTTGCCGTGCCGGGTCGTCGCCAGACCGATTCAGGAACGGCCTGCTCGCATCCAGGGCCGTCCACGGCTCGACCGTAGCTCCAGCCGCTCCAGCTTGCTCGAGTCCGACTGACGGAAAACAATGGTCCCCGAACGGGCCTGGGATTCTCCGGGTTCTGCTCGGCAGGGCGCCTGGAGGCGACCTGTGAAGGCGGCGCAGCAGTTCTTTCTCATGCGTCGACTGCCGCCGACGGAGCGGCAGGATCGGCGCTCCGCGAGGGCGGAGTGTTTGGAGTGGAGGGAGGGCCGGCCCCCAAATGGGGCCGCGCCCCCCCCCCCTCTGGAGCGCCGGCGGGGAGGGCGGGGGGCGCGCGGGGGCGGCATGGGGGGTGCGGAGGGGGGGGCGCTGAGCCGGCGGGAAAGGGTGCGTGAGCGCGTGGTCGTTATTGCGTGGGTGTCTGAAGATGTCGGCGTGTGCGTGTGTGTGTGTGTGTGTGTGTGTGTGGGTAGGTGTGGGTGGAGCTGTGCGGCGGTGGCGGCGCGTGTTGTGGGTGGAGCTGTGCGGCGGTGGCGGCGCGTGTGCGCGCGCGGCGCGCGTGGGCGCGTGGGCGCGCACGCGGGAGCGCGCGAGCGCACCCGCGTGCAGAGCTGCCCTGCCATCCTGGTTGCCGACGCCACAAGTCGTAGCGCCGCACGCCCGCGGGGGCGACCCGAGCTCCAGGAGGCGCCGCGCCGCCGCAGTGCTTCCACCAATCTCGAACGTCGGCGCTGGCGGCTCGCACTTCTCGACGAGGACGCCGAAGTCGGGCGAGCCGACCGCACAGTGCTTCAGGCTCGTCGTCGAGATGCCGACCACCACCTTGTTGCACAGGAGGCGCGGGCCTGGCCCATCAGACTCGATCCAGAGCTCGTCGCCCGCGCTGATCATGAGAAGCGGACGAGCCCCCGAACGCGAGGCGGCCGACCCTCAGGGAGGTCGACGGTCACCAAAGTCCTTCTCGTCGACAAGCGCTTCCGCTGGCGCGCGCCGCCCGCAGACGGCCTCCGAGGCGCGAGAGGCGAAGCCCAGCGCCCACCGCGCGAGCTCCGAGGCCAGCAGCAGCAGGTCCCCGAGCCCGAGCTCCCACTGAAGGGAGGGGCTGCGATCGCCTGCGGGCTCGCAGGCCCGGGAGGGCGAGGGGCGTGAGCGACCGCCCTCCCTCGCGTCCAGCGCGGCCGCCAAACCCGCCATCGCTCGGACGTCCATTCTCCGAGCACTTTTCGGCCTCGCGCGTGCACTTTTCGCAGGGCGACCTCACCTGCACCACCTCTTCACGCAGGCCCGGCGGCCCAGGGGGCCGCGCCCTCGGGCCCCGAGGAGGCGAAGTAGGAGCAGGAGCTCGTCGGCCACGCGCACACGGAGGAGGAGGAGGAGGAGGAGGAGGAGGAGGAGGGAGGAGGAGGAGGAGGAGGAGGAGGAGGAGGAGGGAGGAGGAGGAGGAGGAGTAGGAGGAGGAGGAGGAGGAGGGAGGGAGGAGGAGGAGGAGGAGGAGGAGGAGAGAGGGAGGAGGAAGGAGGAGGAGGAGGGAGGAGGAGGAGGAGGAGGAGGAGGAGGAGGAGGAGGAGGGGAGGAGGAGGAGAGGAGGATAGGAGGAGGAAGGAGGAGGAGGAGGAGGAGGAGGAGGGAGGGGGGAGGAGGGAGGAGGAGGAGGTAGGAGGGAGAGGAGAGGAGGAGGAGGAGGAGGAGGAGGAGGAGGAGGAGGAGGAGAGGAGGAGGAGGAGGAGAAGGAGAGCCCTTTTGGCACAGGTTGCCCTGTGTCACGGGCTTTCCAGGCGCTGCCGCCCCGCCCCACCCCCGCCCTCTTCCGCGATGGTCGTCGCTGCCCGGCTGGATTTCGTCCTTGGCATGGTCGAGACCGGTGCTCAGGTGCTTTTCTCCTACCTCCCCAATGCGGACTCCGGCAAGTTGAAGGTAAAGATTCTCATCCGCGAGACCGGGCAGCCCCCATGCGTGTTGTTCACGACCCACGGTGTTGAGAAAGTGCAGTTCTTACGCCAACTCGTTTCTTCATTTTCTGTGGTCGATCGTGGACACAAGCACACAGACGGGACCATGGAAATTTGCATGTGGTTCACCCCGCATAAGTCAGTGCTGCTACGACATGACGCTGCGGAGTTCACACCATCGTGCGAAGGTAGGAGCCCCTTCCGTCGTGGGCTGCCTCTTCATGGCCGTGTGCGGCGTGGCACGCCTCTCCCGAGCAGGGCTCCTTCTCCAAGGTCCAGATCGTGTTCGTCCGCTCCAGAGGCGGAGGATATGCCTTCGGCAGCTGCGGAGGCGGGAGCCTCCTCGACAGCGCACACTTGGGAGAGAAAGATCAAGGCCGACAAATGGTTCGAGCACCAGGAGCTGCTGCTAGCCCGAGCCGTGGCCATGTTTCAGTATGAGTGCGCCCAGATAGCTGAGAAGGAGGACGTGTCCCAGGCGACGGTCTCCTTTGAGGTGCTGTCCAGGGCGATCGAGAAGTTCCCGAAGAAAGTGCTGAAGGACTCCTGCTATTTCGTCGAGTCCTTTGGCAATGAGGTTCCGGAGGAAAGCTGGATCTATGCAGTTCGCGGGTTGGAGGCCATATGGACCCCTGGAGAGCCGATTCCATACCAGGAGGTATTGCATAGCATGATCTTGCCATTCGTAGCCAAGATCCAGATGATAGGGTACAGTAGTTGCAAGCACATCGCAGGCACTTGGAAATTGACAGTAACTTGGTAGCCTGGAGTGCCGAGTGTCAGCCTCAATTGTGAGGGCCGCCTGATAGCAGCTGTCCAGTCGGCGCGTTGCGTTTGGTTTCGGCGCTGGTCGCTTGCTGGACGTGGCTCTTTTTTCTGGCTCCTGGCCCGCGGCCTGGCCCTTGGGGGCCTCTTGTCCTGGGGTGTCGTGGTGGTCCAGTGCCTGTGCTCCCCCCTTGCGGCCTCCCTTTCTCCCTGTCTTCTTTCTTCCTCCCTTTGCGTCTCCCCTCTTGGGGGGGTGCTTTGGCGCTGGGCCCTTGCTCTTTTGGTTTCGGGGGCTCCGGGGACCCTCGTCGCCACGTCTCTTTCCTGCCTAGTCTCTCATCCGCATCCGTATGGGACCCAGACTATGTCCCTTAGAGCCGACCGACCGACCGACCGACCGAGGAGGAGGAGGAGGAGGAGGAGGAGGAGGAGGAGGAGGAGGAGGAGGAGGAGGAGGAGGAGGAGGAGGAGGCACACGCCCGAGCGATGCCAAGCAGACAGTCCGCCAGCGGCCCCCAGGCCCCGCCGCCCTCGAGCACGGGGGCCAGGCGCCGTCTCGACGGGCGGAGGGGCCGCCGCCACCCAGGGGCGCCGCGGGCGCGGAGAAGAGCAGCCACCAGCGCGCCAGCCAGATCACGTGTTACTGACAAGCTGGAGCCCGAGGTTGGGCGCGAACTACTGGGGGGGGCGAACTCTAGGGGGGGCGCGAGGTAATGGACGGGGGGCAAGAAAAGAGTGCCCTTCTCAGGCCCTGCAGGGCCTCCTGCTGGGCCCCAGAGGGCCCCTGCAGGGGCCCTGTTAGGGGCCCTGAAGGGCCTCTGTCGTGCAGCCCTCGCTGCCCCCCCCGTTTACAGTCGGGGCGCTGACCTAAGGAACCCTAAATGAGGAACGAGGCCCCTTTCTCCCACAAGCTAAACTTCGATTTCCCACGGGGAGAACCTAAGGAACACCCAAGGCAAGCTGCACAACAATTCAGGAGCACGGAGCCCCTCCCCAACGAGAAGAACCTTCTTCAGTGCCCCGACTGCATCGTCCACCCATTCATCGCGGCCCAACGAGAGCCTGGTCTGTGTAGACCACCATCGTCGCTTTAGCTATCATGGTCGATCCTCGCCGATACGGCTCCTAGCCGCTCGGCAACGTTAATCTGCATCACTCAGTGTGTCACAGCATCATGGTCACTTCCAACGCCGTCGTAACAGACCTCGCTGCTGCCACAATTCCAGACAATTCCTCGCCGACCAGGACAATCGTCATCGTTGTCCCCATCGTCGTCTGGCCGACGGGACGCCATCACTACGAATAGACATCAGGATAAGAAAGCAGTAGTACAATTATAACACGTGGGAGTACACGAAGTATATTTGGTGGTTGCTGTTGTGGCCATAACGTTGGTCACAGTATCCAAGGCTTCCAGAACCATCAGCCTCATCATCACCATCAATAATACCATCATCGCCACCATCATCAGCACCATCATCGTCGTCATCATCGTCAGAAACACCATCATCACCATCACCACCATCATGACCATCATCACAGTCATCATCATCACCATCACCATCAGCGTCATCATCACCACCACCACCACCATCATCGTCGTCATCATCACAAGAGGCACCATCACCATCGCAACCATCATCACAATCATCATCATCACCATCATCACCATCATCAGCATCACCACCACCACCATCATCATTATCATCATCATCATCATCATCAGCATCATCATCATCATCATCATCATCTTTATCACCATCTTCAGCACCACCACAATAATAAGCATCGCCATCATCATCATCGCCATCGTCATCGCCATCGTCGCCATCATCATCAGCATCGCCATCGTCATCGTCATCATCATCATCATCACAATTATCAGCATCACCATCACAACCATCACAATCATCAACACCACTACCACCATTATCGTCGTCATCAACGTCAGAAGCACCATCACCATCACCACCATCATAATTACCATCACCATCATCACCATCATCAGCACCACCACCACCATCATCATCATCGTCATCGTCACAACCATCATCATCATCATCAGCATCATCGTCATCGTCATCCTACAGCATCATCAGCACAACCACCATCACCATCATCATCATCACGATATCATCATCATCATCATCTTCTTCATCTTCGCCATCATCATCATCATCACCATCATCATCATCATCATCACCATCACCATCACCATCACCATCACCATCATCACCATCATCACCATCACCATCACCATCACCATCATCATCATCATCATCATCATCATCATCATCATCATCATCATCATCATCATCATCATCATCATCATCATCATCATCATCATCATCATCATCATCATCTTCTCTGCCGACCTGAGGCGGCGTGCCCGCATCTCGTGGAAGACCTGCAGGGCCTGCCCTGGCTGCGAGCACGCCCCGAGGACGGCGCTGCACCCCACAGCGTCTGGCTGCACACGGCCTCGGCACATCTCGGCGAAGAGCTCAACGGCGTTCTCCCAGCGGCGGCCGCGCGCGCACGCGCTGATGGCGGCGCTGTAGGCGATGACGTCCGAAAGACAGACCCTGCCCCCCCCACCCCTACAGACCTCTTCCTCCCCGGCTCCTCCTCGTCATCCCTCCTCCTGCTCACCCCCATCATCTCCCTGCTCCTCCTCCTCCACCTGCTTCTTCTCCCTCTCCCGTGGGCAATCACGACCAGAACTTCGATGCGGATCCAGCCGTGGCGACTGGAAGGCTCCTGGAGTGGGAAGCAAAAACAGCTTCCAAAACCTCGAGCCTTGATCTTCCTGTTCGAACGGAACAAACGTAGTCGTACACTTTTGGAGGTCCGGAGGGACCTCGTAGGCTGGCGCTAGCTCCCCACCCCAGGCACGCGTCGCGCGCCAGGGGCGGCGCGGAAGGCACTGCCAGTGGGGAACCAGCGTCGACCCGACCAATCATCCCCGTGGACCTCCGATCGTTTATGCTTATCCCTTGCTTTCGGGTTGACGCGAGTATGGCAATGGGGGTGTATGGGCAGAGATAAAGAAATTGGTTATATAGTGATACCAGAGAAAAAACAATCATAATCTTTTGAGGAGGAGGATGAGGAGGATGAGGAGGAGGAGGAGGAGGAGGCGGAGGAGGAGAGATCCCTTCCAGTGTGTGGACCACTTCGGCAAGACACGTTACCGAACAAAAACGACCCCCAACCAGAGCCTGGGCGGGCGCAGGCCCGCGAGAGCTGCGGCGGCAACAGCCCCGCTGAGAACCGAGACACGGCAAATCCGCCCCCCCCCCCCTTTCGTGGGTAGCGAGGGAGCAGGCTCCTCCTCTTCCTCCTCTCCTCCTCCTCCTCCTCCTCTCTCCTCCTTATCCTCCTCCTCCTCCTCCTCCTCCTATCCTCCTCCTCCTCCCTCCTCCCTCCTCCTCTCTCCTCTCCTCCTCCTCCTCCTCCTCCCTCCTCCTCTCCTCCTACTCCTCCTCCTCCTCCTCCTCCTCCTCCTCCTCCTCCTCCTCCTCTCCTCCTATCCTCCTATCTTCTCCTCCTCCTCTCTTCCTCCTCCTCTTCTCCCTCTTCCTCCTCTCCTCCTCTTCCTCCTGCTCCTCCTCTTCCACCTCTCCCTCCCCCTCCTCCTCCTCCTCCTCTCCTCCTCCTCCTCCTCCTCCTCCTCCTCGTTCGCCTCGTTCGCCTCCTCCTCCTCTTCCTCCTCTTCCCCCTCCTCCTGCTCCTCCTGCTCCTCCTCTTCCTTCCCCTCCCCCTTCCTCGGCTTGGCAGGGTGGGGGTTTCTGTCGGTCTCCAACGCCCTCCTATACGGATCGCGATTGTGTAATTATTCTGGGCGGCGCTAAATGGAGGGTGGCAGCGAGGGCCGCCGAAAAGGGTCCCTCCAGGGCACCTCTGGGGCCCGGAGGGGGCTTCCTGAGAAGGGCACTCTTCTCCCCCCCCCTTCCGCACTGATGCGCGCACCAGGATTCTCGACCTGTGAGGCTCTGGCTTTCGAGAGGTTCGGCTCCACGCGCAGCCCGCCGAGCTCCCGCAGCACCGCCAACGCCCGCGCCCACTGACCGCCGCGCTCGCACGCGCTGACCGCGGCGCCGCAGGTGACCTGTGCAGGGGGACGGGCGCAGGAGGGATGATGGGCCTGTTTTCCACCACCACCACCATAAGTTGGAGGGGGAGGTTGTCCTCCTCCTCCTCCTCCTCCTCCTCCTCCTCCTCTTCGTTCTCCTCCTCCTCCTCGTCCTCCTCCTCCTCCTTCCCTCCTCCAACTTATGGTGGTGGTGGTGGTGGAAAGCAGGTCCATCAAGGGCCGCAAACCCGAGCTGGATGGAGTCGCGAAGTCGAATCGCCAGCGAATCGTCCAGAATCGAACCGAAATCGGATCGACGCGCCTCGCTCCGGCTGACGAATCGAGCCGGATCACATCGAATCGAAATCGCGGCCTCAGCCAGCGAATCGAACAGCTTCGAATCGGATCGTGGGCGGCCTTTGGGAAGATTCCGAATCTTACACTCAACCCTTCAGGGTCGTGGGGGGAATTATCGGACGTTTCTGGCCCTTGTCGGGCCCCTGGATGACGTGCGGAAGCCTCTGTCTCTCTCTCTCTCTCTTTCTCTCGTTCCCTCACGCTCTCTCTCGTTCTCTATCTCGTTCTCTCTCTCTCTCTCTCTCTCGTTTTTTTTTTTTTTTTTTTTTTTTTTTTTTGTTTTTTTTTTTTTTTTTTCTCTCTCTCTCTCTTTTTCTCTCTCTTCTCTCTCTGCCAGCCCCCTCGGGGGCGCAAGGCTGTGAAACCTTCTGCTTGGCGGCTGTCTTTCGTCATGTGTGGTGTCTTGTCTTGCTTGTCTTTTGTCTCTCCAGCCCTGCCACCTTTCTGTTCTCTACCAGGAGGGGCCCGCGCCGCCAAGAAAGGCCACCTGGTGTGGGGGGGAGGGCATCAATTCCTGTTCGCTCCAGGTTGCCCCAGGATTCCCACAGGGATGCCACCGCACGGCCAGGAAAGCCCAAGAGGCCTCGAAAACGGCCCAGAGGTTCCGAATAGCTCCTGGCTGGCGAGCTCAAGACGGCCGAAGAGTCTGAAGAGAATCCACATTTTCTCCAAGACGACCTCAACACGGCCAAAGAAGCCTCCAAGACGCCCCAAGACTGCCCCCAACATGGCCTCCAGAAGGCAAAATCAGAGATGTCCCTAAAGTGTTGGACACATTTTCACGTTTTCGTCTTTTCGGGTTTCTGGAGGCCCAAGGCGGCCCAAGATGCTTCCAACATGGCCCACAACGCCCTAATGAGAGCCTCAAGAGGGCCGCAAGATGGCAGAACGGGTCTCCAACACTGTCCCAAGACTGCCCGAGAGGATCCCGAGACGGCCCAAGAGGGCCCCAACAGAACCCCCATGATCTCCAAGACAGGTAAAAAACGACCCCGAAACTGCACAAAAGGGCCCCAGAACGGCATGAGACGGCCCTATGACAGCCCGAACGGGCCCCAATAACTCCCTAATAGGCCCCACGAAGCCATACAAAGGCTCCCACTATGCTCAAAGCGGAGCCCCAGGAGGGTGCCAAGTGACTCCCGGGAGGAGGAGGAAGAGGAGGAGGAGGATGAGGAGGATGAGGAGGAGGAGGAGGAGGAGGAGGAGGAGAAAGAAGAGGAGGATGTGTAATTGATTATTGTGTGGGGCCCACGGACTGACTCACCCCTCCCCCTGCTGCTGCCTGCTGGCCCGCCTCTGTCCCTTCCCTTTTTGCTGCCCAGGAGGAGGAGGAGGAGGAGGAGGAGGAGGAGGAGGAGGGAGGAGGAGGAGGAGGAGGAGAGGAGGAGGAGGAGAGAGGAGGAGGAGGAGGAGGAGGAGGAGGAGAGGAGGAGGAGGAAAAAACGGAGGAGGAGAAGGAGGAAGAAGAGGAGGAGGAAAACGGGGAGGAGGAGGAGGAGAGGGAGGAGGAGAAGGACGAAGGACGAAGGAGGAGGAGGAGGAGGAGAGGACGAGGACGAGGAGGAGGAGGAGGAGGAGGAGGAGGAGGAGGAGGAGGAGGAGGAGGAGGAGAGGGAGGAGATGGAGGAGGAGGAGGAGGAGGAGGAGGAGGAGGAAGCCACGGTTGACCGAGGACCGTGGCAGCCCGCCAGCCCGCAGGGAGCCAGCCGCGAACGCACTTGATCTTCCAATCCTTCATCTGCTACGTCCGTTCATCCCACACTTTGACATCACAGTTCCTATCCTTCACTCCTACACTCGTGTCAGTTCGTTCTCGTCCTCGCGTTACTACGCAGCACCACTCGCACAGCCAACTTGGCCAAACACTACCACGGCCTCGACACCTACACCGTACGCCCACAGCGGCTAGCACCACTTGCACGGCCATGTTGGCCAAGCCATCTCACTCAGAACCCACACTGCAACATCCTTACATATGGTAACACAACGCCTTCGTCGACTTCAAACCCTGCTTGGCAACGCCGTGGGCGGGACATGCGGGCAATGGCACGTGCACTATCACGGGTGGCATCAGCGCGCACCCGATTAGACACACAGACTCAGCAACAACTTCACACTGCTAAACACCTTCTCGACCAACACCACACTGCGCAGCAACCACCGAAGACACTCGACCCACACCATGCTCAGCTATGCACAGACACGCCAAGCCAAGGGTAGAAGCAAGGGGAAACACCAGCACCAGCAACACCACAACAAGGGAACGGCAACCACTTGGCAAACACATCGCCACACAAGCGACACCCACCCACCACACCATGCTACAACATAATCAACGACACCACGGCAACTATGCCAGCAGCAATGCAACGATGCATAGCATCAGCCAGGGAACACAAACCACGCGCACCGCGTCCACCATGGCCGACAACCCCGAATTTCGCCGTTGTCTCCAGAAGCGTACAGTAAAAACACATTGCGTACGGATGCCTTCACCTAATCATCTACATGGCATGCGGATAAAGAAGGCGGTGGGATGCAAGGCCAACGATATCGCCTCCACCATCGCCGCCACCACTGATACTCCATCACCACCTGCACGGACACCGCAACATTTGCCGCCGCCGTGGCCTCAATTCTCCTCCTCCTTCTCCTTGTCTTGGACCTCGGCCTCCTCCTCCTCCTCCTCCTCCTCCTCCTCCTCCTCCATCCTCCGCCTCTACCTATACGTTTTCGTGTCCGAACCCTTGCTCCTCCACTTCCTGCTTCTTCTTTTCGCTCCTGCCCTCCTGCCCTCCTCATCCTCACCCTCATCCTCATCCCCATCCCCTTCAACATCCTCATCCTCATCATCCTTATCCTCCTCCTCCTCATTCTTCTCCTCCTCATCATCATCCTCATCATCTTCGTCATCCTCAGTATCTTCATCATCATCATCATCCTCGTACTCCTCCTCCTCATCATCATCACCATCACCATAATCACCATCACCATCATCACCATCATCATCAGTAACATCATCATTATCATCTATGTCCTCGTGCTACGCAGTATCAACATTCTCATCATCACCATCAACAAAATCAACATCGTCGCCATCAACATCTTGAACACCCGCCTCACCGTCATCCTCATCTCCACCACCACCACCACCACCACCATTATAAACATGTTCACCGATTTCAGCATCACAACCAACATCGTCACCATCGCCATCGCAACGAGATCCTAATCATCACCGCCATCGTCATCAAACTAATCACTTTCGTCGTCAGCACCGTAATCATCCTCACCAGAGTGATCGACATAATCGTCTTCGCCATCATCATCGTCGGCAACATCATCGTCCTCGTCGCCGTCATCATCATCGTTTCTCCTCCTCCTGCCCCGTCTTCCTCTACCCTCCTCCTCATCCTCCTCACTCCGCCTCATCCTCCTCCTCAGGTAACGGCCTCCGAGATGGGGTCCGAGTACTTGGGGTCGAAGGATCGCGCCGCATCTCCAATACATCGCCGATGTATCGGCGATGCATCGGCGACGTCGGCGATGCGTCGGCGACGTCGGCGTGCGGAAAATCGGGCTCCACATCGAGCCGGTGATGCGGCGCGAATTTCCGACCCCATCTGGCCTAGATCCTCCTCCTCACTTCGCCTCGTCCTCCTCCTCAGACCCCCCTCATTCTCTTCTGCCCGGGCCCGCCCAGCGACCACGGAGGGCGACACGCGCATGCGCAGCATAGTGTCGAGGAGCTGCACCGCCACGGGCCACTGCGCCCCGCCGCAGGCGCTCACGGCGGCGTTGCAGGCGATGGTACTCGGGGGCCCGGCATGGACGAGCGAAGCACCGAGGACCGAGGAGACATCGAGGATCGGGGTTCGGCCCGAATTCGGGGGCGCGCAGGCATGGATTAGCGAGCCATGGATTTGGCGCGTGGTTGCCGAATCCATGGATCGGGGGAGGTGCCCTTCCAAAAATGCGGCCGGTGCCGCCTCGTTCGGCGGCGGAAATCTGCGATTTCCCATGGAAACGGCGCCCGTCGCTAGTCCACGCCCCCTTGATCCACG